TAGGTCGCCACGACCATCACCACGGCTTTGTGACGCCGGAAGTTCTCAGCATCAAAGTCCTGCGCTCTTGAAAGTCGCTCGCCAAACCCGAGCAAAAGCACATGGGTTTGGTTCGGCTGGAGAGCCCTTGAAAACCTCAGAGCCATCGGACGCCTCCAAAGACTCACCAAAGGCCAGCTTAGCAGAGGTTCCCCACTTGCAGCCATCTTGGTGCCAAGACATGCCGATACAAAAACCAACCACAGTGCAGCAGTACAAACTGCTCATGGCCATGCCGACATGAACCATAACCCATGAGCCACAATCAAAACCTGGATACTGAGGGTTAAAACCACGTGGAGAATCATACGCCTTGTTGCCACCTATGTCTGATCGGGACGGTCCCCTACCTTCATCCACCCAGGTTTTGACTATGGCTTTAACTGGGGCGGGCTTAAAACAAAAGGATCCCAACAAAAAATGCGTTGCTCTTCGGGGATATCTCCTGGTTCCGCAAGAAAGGCCGGGTTGTCTCAAAATAGGGTCCCAGAGCCTAGGGAGGGAGGGAGGGAGGGAGGGAGGGAGGGAGGGAGGGAGGGAGAGGGAGGGAGGGAGGGAGGGAGGGAGAGAGAGAGAGAGAGAGGGGACAGAACAAAAAAGAAAGAAAGAATGAAAGAAAGAACGAACGAAAGAAAGAAAGAAAAGAAAGAAAAGAAAGAAAAGGAAGAAAAGGAAGAAAAGGAAGAAAAGGAAAGAAAAGGAAGAAAAGGAAAGAAAGAACCAAAGAAAGAAGAGAGCGAGAGAGAGAAGGAGGCAGGGAAGGAGGACGGAGGTGGCTATGAGTTTTAAGGTTCTGCAAAATGGTTGCCAGACACGAATCCCCGAATTCTCATGTTTGAAGGGTGCCAAAGTTCGCAACTAAACTTCATGTTTCCCATTTCATGGCATGTTTCCTTTTGGTTTCCCTTGAAGCAGGAAAAAAAAACTCCCAACAAGAAGCGTCCCACCCATTTTGAGCCCCCCCCACCCCCCCCACCCCCCCTCGGCTTTTCCCGTTTGAACCTCGCTCGCCCGGCCTCGCCCGCCCGTTTTTGGGTCTCTCGCTCGCTCGCTTCCCCGGCCTCGAGGTCTATGACCTGGGCGGAGATCTCGTGGCTTTGGGCCTCCTCCGCCAGCTCGTTGGCGAAGCCCTCCGCGGTGCCCATCTGCGACCCGAAGTAGATCCAGAGGCCTGCGGGGAGAAATGAGAAATCGGGGTGGGCTTCCCCCAAAATGGGGGAATGGGGGGGGGGAAGTGGAAAGTTCCTTTCGGAGACCCCAGGAAAAAAAACCCATGAAAGGGCTACACGACGATTCAAATATTGCCAGAACGAGACCCATTCAGGGCAACTGTGAATCCAATGAACGTGTGATGTATTTCCATTCATGAATGGGCAACTTTGAACCAATCCGAAAGGTTCATGAATGTTCCCTGAACCTGGGACAATGACGCCGAAAACATCACCATGGATCCATTGTGTGACTAAGACTGCTGCTCTGAATTCATGTTTCGCCACAAAGAAAGGCAAGCTATGCCCTCCCCCCCAGGACCATGTGCCATGCAAACCCCGTCCCCTCCCTTCAGATGTGCCGGACCGGATCAAAGTTTCGTGTGGACCTCATGGGAATCTATGTCCACCAGTGGTCCACCAGCCAATTTTTTTTAGTTGAACCAAAATCGCCTGGAACAAAACGGAATTGTGTACTCTTAATCTTCCAAAGTGCTCAAAAACCGAAGTGCGCTTCAGCAGCCTCCCTCTTTTTGGTCGCCTTCTTAAGCCTGACGTCCCCTTTTTGCATTGAGAGTCAACGAGGCAGGCACTTCCTGTTTGCCTAGTGCCGTCCTCCCACATGAGAGCAGCATTCGAGCACAGCACACATGAAAATCCGTTGATGCCCTCGACCAACTCGGCTGGGGTCATCCTTTGTGATTTCATGGAAAAGCGTGCTGCCACCATCGCACAATCTTCCTCAGCAAAATGGAAAAAAGGAAAAGGAAAAATTACACCAGCATAGACCCCAGATAGCACCTCAAGCAACACCAAAAAACAGCATCCCAAAACAGCACCTGCGCAAGAATCCCCAAACTGCATGCCCCTCATCAATCTCGCAAAAACACACCTGGCCGTCACCAGGCTCCCAAAACAAAACAGCACCCGCGCCAGCACCTCCACACTGCATGCCCCGTAGCACCCGGCCGTCAATCTCGCAACTCACTATACCCTCTTCATTAGAAGTTAGAACTTCAGCTACCTGGGGAAGCAACAAGAGCAAGGACTCAGTTGAGGCGACTTCATGTCCTTTCTGGGGAAGGAGTTTCTTGTGTTGAGTATCTGTTTCAGTGAGCCGGCCACCCCGAACCCTCTTTAAGCCCGTCGACCCGTCGACCCGAAGCACCCGAAGCTCGCGAAGCCACCGACCCGCCTTCCGAGGCACTGTTCGAGGCCGTGGATCCGTTCAGGGGGCTGGTGGGCGTCTTCGCCTCACCCCACTTGGTTGACTTTAGGGGAGCAAAACATCAAGCTTTAGCAGTTAAAAAGTGGGGGATTTGGGAATTTCCCACAAAACCACGACAAGCAAAATGTTAAGTGTTCCCCAACAGCAACCATGACCAAGTCTCTGGTCCAGCTCCCGCACTTGGGGAGTTGTTTGGTGACTTGGCTGTGGGTCAAAATTGTTTTGCGATCCCATTTTTGGTTGGTAGGCGAATTCACCACCCATTTTAGAACCTATTTTAGTGGTTGGATTGGGTCCCCATGGCCAGTTGTCCGCTCGAGCTGGATTTTTCTCCGGCGGGACAACCATCTGTGTGAAAGCTCCCTTCTGGGACCCAATCCCGTCCTTCATGAGGCTGGGCTGCTTGCCGATGCCCGGCTGCTTGCTGAAGTCATCCTGCACAGGCGAGGTGCGAGGCGAGGTGCAAGAAGCCCCAAACCACTACCCCAGAGGGTCAGTCCATGCAAGCCCAGTATGATCCGAAAGAAGGAAGGGAAGCCTGGGATGAGCTGGCCACTGATCGAGGATCAACTGGATAACCACATGTGCGTATGATGTGTTGTGTTTAATGGACATGGACCCCTTGTGCGTCATTTACAGCGGGATTCATGTCCAACAACTCTAGGGGTTGATTCCCCACTCTTTTCAACCATCGTTCTTTTCAATAACCAGCTGTTTCCCCAGGGGTGTTGGTGGCTTTCTGGAAAGAAGGATCCCTGGAAAGAATGGAATTGGAAGCTACCCCTAGACCAACTGTTTGTAGGGTGCACAACCGTTTTCAGGGTGCCCCCAATCAAATTCCCCGTGTGGCTCCGGCTCCGGTGGCTCCGTCCCCCCGGTCCTTGCGGAGGTTCCAGAGCAGCCGCAGTACCGCCGCGGTAGCGCAGATCCCCACGCCCAGCTTCACCAGCTCCGAGGTCTCCATGTCCTTCAAACTCCCAGGGGGTTGTTGTATTACACCCTGGGCTTCCCGATCTTCCTGGGAAATGACCCAAACTGCTTCAAAGTAACACGGCTTTCCAGGGATCCGGATGCATTATGCACCTGAACATTGCCACTTGTAAATGGTGGTGTTTCCCTTTTTGGGGGTGTTGAAAAAGCAACATGTTTCAAATGGTTGCAAAATGTATGTTTTAAGGAGCCCTGTTCAAACTCTAAGGGTTGTTGTATTACACCCCGGCTTGGGAAATGACCATTTCAAAATGGTTCAAAATAACGGGGGGGGGGGGGATTGTTCAGTGGCGTAATTTTAGGGTGTAACACTGCAACACACAAACCCTTGGACAAGTTGGCTGATGCAACGAAGCATGTTCATTCAGCCGCTCCAAAGGAGGCATCAAAAATGGGGTAAATAGACTCCCTCCCTGCTGTGGCCTTTGCTCCAACAGGAGCAGCAGGTGTCTATGAACTAAATGTCATACGTAGCACAGGAAGGATCTTCGAAAGACATGCAGGCTTCAGTTCTTCCATTTCAATAGTTCCTTTTGAAAGCCCTTGATTTGCAGAAGTCGGAATACGAAGGTCCCCACGTGGGTGTGGGTCAACAAGCAGGTATACAAAATCGAACCCTGGCGAATAAATGGAAACAAGGAAGAACAACAGAACTGTGGTCCAATTCCTGGCTGAATTTCGACCCATACCCCATGTGAATTCGCATCCCAGCCCAAGACACGAGTCCCTCTCCCCTCTGTCCAGCAGCCAACTGGATAGCCACCCGGTGCGGCAGCGAGCCAGAACGCTGCGAAACGGCGCATGTCCCCCGGATGGCTCCAGCAAAACCTGGGTCCCCGTCTGCTTGAGAAAACCATCTGAGCTTCATGAGGAAAATGCACCTCCTGCTGGCTACACACACACACACACCCCATGAATGTGGCTTCTCAAACATGCCAGCTTGGGTAAGCAATGATCAAGAAAGTAAGGTGATTCGGGGATGGCCTCAGAAACCATCCATGTATGTGTGTGTGTGTGTGATGACAATGACGACTACTCCAACCGACAACGACGAAGCAGCACGGACGAGAAAAACGATGCCGATGACGACGATGATGATGACGACGACGATGATGATGACGACGACGAGAACGACGACAACGACGACGACGACGACAATGATGATGGTGTGTTGGAACACTCGTGACTCTTTCAGGCCAGGAATTGACCTGGCAAATCCCAATAACGTGACTTACTGTCGCTGAGACCTTAGCCAGTCTGCAGCAAGTCACCTGGACAATAGCGTTGCACCAACTCTACAAATCAAAGGTTGGAATGCGAAAGCTCAAGGCACTGAATACACAAGTAGCATGTGTACAAAGACCCCGGCTCTTGCGCTTTTTTTCGTGACCCGACCTCACCCACTGCATCCCCGTCAACACATGTCATAGGCCTGAAAAGCAGGTCTCAAGCCTCATCCAGGCCAATCGTGCCATCGTGTCAAGTGCAGGTCATGCGCCTTTTGGACTTGGGGAACGGTGGGGTGTCCAGCCTGCCTTCGTGAGGCGTACGCCTTCCAGGTCAAAGGCGCTTTTCCTCGAGTGGCTTGGGAGGGAGCTTCTACAGAAACGTCCCTGGTGATCAAAAGGGTCCTGCCGTTTCTGTTCGGGCCTATGCTCTAAAGCACGGATTTGTGCCTCTTGTATGCGGCAGTGAGGCCATTCAAAGGCTCCCTTGGGCAGAAACCCCATTTGTACCCACTCTGCACGGCCAATTCTTACTTGGAGCACGTAACTATTCCTGCATGGTAGCTGCAACCAAGAAGCAGTGACCGTGGAAGGCGGTCTGTCGAAAGTAGCGGATCCTCGCAAGTGAATATGAAGGCTTGATTGTTGATATCCAAAGACAACACGCGACCGCAAGAGATATGTGGACATGCATTGCAGAAGCATGTTTCGCAAGGACCTGTTGCAAGCAGAGTTTGGGCCAAGCATACTCCTTGTTGCGTCTACACGCCAGAACAAATAGAAAACATCTAAATTGAGAACACAGACTCAGCACATGAACTCGACTTCGACGGATTCCATGCTCTCCATGCAAAATAGTTTTGCTGGGACAAAACCAGCTCACAGGTTCTGGCGGTTTCCCCGAGATGTTGGGCTCATTTGAGCCCGACTTGGCCACCACACGCTGCCGCCGCCGCAGCGACGATCCGCAGGCCACTGGCACGGCTTTCGGCTTTCGGCTTGGCGAGGTCAAGTGGGGGGTGGTGAATCAGATTGGGCTGTTGGGCTGTTGGGCTGTTGGGCTGTTGGGCTGTTGGGCTGTTGGGCTGTTGGGCTGTTGGGCTGTTGGGCTGTTGGGCTGTTGGGCTGTTGGGCTGTTGGGCTGTTGGGCTGTTGGGCTGTTGGGCTGTTGGGCTGTTGGGCTGTTGGGCTCTTGGGCTCTTGGGCTCTTGGGCTGGTGGGCTGGTGGGCTTGGGCTGTTTGTGCTGTGTGACTCTTGGGTTGTTGTACCCTCAGATCTCAAATCTCCTTGGCTTATGTCTTTGCTCGGGCATCCACGAACGAACCCATACGGGCTTGGCTCAAACTTGGGAATCCAGGAGAGTATATTCGGTAAGAGGGACGCGGAACCATCACTGACTCTGACCTCGTTTCATTCCAACATGCGTTGGATCGTGAGCCCCTGTCATCTGGCCATAGGTCAACCACTAAAATCCCGACTAAAATGGGTGGTGCACCGAAAACCCCAAAATGGGATCCCAAAACGGTTTTGACAACCAGCCATCTCTTAGCCCATGCACACCGCTTCTGCAAACAAATTCCGCCTGCTGCAGCTGCTGCCAGTGCGGCCCTTGTAGCACCTGTGGACTTTCGGCTTTCGGCTTTCGGCTAGCGAGGCATCCGCCGCCCCTCGAAAGAAAACCCTTCGAATCATAGCAGCCGTTCGCCACTTTTGAGCCAGCAGGCATTCCGCTCGCAAACCGTCTGCCATAAGGCAGGAGCCTGGCATTCGCGTTTTTTTGGCTGAGACGTCAACTGGAAGCTCTGCACAGTGCCAGCTCAGAGGTACACCGCGCCCCTTCGGCTCCGGCCAAGCGAGCGCGGGAGCTGTGGCGTCGAAGGCGGCCGGCGAGTCGCGTGCGGAAGCTCAGAGCTCCGTCTGCTCGAGGGCCGATGGAGCCTGGAGCAGTTGACTCTAAGAAAGCTAAGCATCCAACAACTCAAACAGGAAAATGACAATTGGCACGAAGACAAAAAAAATAACACCGGGGAATCTTACTGTGAGCGTAGACCAATTTGCAAGTATAGTCAAGGACAGTCAAGTACAGGTACAGTCAAAGTATAATCAAGTGTAGTCTGCGCAAGTGACATCTGCTTTCCAGCGTAGAGGATTTCCCTTTGCAGTCTGTGCAAATGATCTGCTTTCTCCCGAAAGGGCTCCGTCAACACTCACGGTCAGAAACGACTGATTCGTTTTATGAGTGGTCTCTTTGCAATCTCCCCAAATCTCCGCCGAGCGATCTCTCTGAATCATCCTCCGCAATCTCTCTGAACCGTTCTGCGGTTGTCAATGAGAAACCAACAGGAAAGCCGGTGAGCTTGCAGGGCGATTCCGAACGATTCCCCACCGCGCCTCGTCTCATGCCGGTCGGCCAGACGGCAAGCCTTGCAAGGTTTGATTGGGGGGTTCCTTTGGGGTACATCGGGACTTGTAGGGCCCAACTTCGTGGGGGAAACACTCACGGCATGTGAAGCGAATGCCCTCTGCAAATGTCCATGAGGCAAATCAACTGGCTGCTCACATTATCTCAAAGTGAGAATCTATGCTCGGATGCAGCCCTTGTGATCATATTGCGTTTGAACGAGCCTCTCCAATCTACGAAGTACAAATATGTCTTTCATGACAAGCTCGCCCAGCTCGCCCTGGCTCCTGTTTTGGATAGGAAGGGACTTTGTTTGAGTCTCGAGTTGGGCGCTTGCTCATGCTTGATCGAGCCCATCCTCTCCGGCAACAAAAGCAGGCATCCTCTCCCTGTTTGACTATGTTGATATCTAAGCTCCCTCTTGGTCAGGTCTCCTAGTGCCTTGCACCAAGCCCAACCTTGCCGCTTGCCGCTTGCCGCTTGCGGCAGGCCTCACAAATCTTCTTGGCAATCACGTGGGCCATGCGAGATCAGCTGCAGGGCTTCCTGGTCACAGGTTTCCCTCTGTGCTCAAGCGGCCTCAAAAGCATCCAAAAGCTACGCGAAGCATCCACAAGCTACGGGAACACCTGCACCCTCGCAGCTCTTAGCCCCGAAATCTCGGATAAGCCTGACACGTGCACGTGCAACGACGTCCGTGACTTGTTGTTTTTGCATCCCTCTCCGTGTCCTCCACCAGCACCCGCACACGCCCCACGTGCAGCGTCACGTTCTCATCCCGATCCCAGTTCTCAAAGTCGAGGTCCTCCGCTCAATCCACGTCTGACGCTTTTGCAGCCGCTTTGGGCCCTAAACTCCCCAAACTCACCTATAGTTTTTTTCGAGAGCACTGCTAGTTGCTCGCAAAAAAGATCGCCCCCGTGCTCGCCATCTCAAAGCCGCGAATCCGGTTCTCCGCTCCTCCACAAAACGCGTCTTCACGTCTTGCGGCTTGATGCAGATGTGGTGTATCCTGAGCACTTGACACCGCAAGCCATGACTCATGTTCCAAAAAACATGCCCGCAACCTGCCACCTCCCCTCCACCGAAAACGGAAACCCGGCCACTCCACCCACCCACCCCACAGCTGCGCCGCTCTGCCAGCCGCGCCAGACCCCCAAAGGTCTCCGCGCCATCGACGTTCCAACTGGGCAGGCGCTCTCGAGAAAGCCCGGCCCTGATTTACGGAAAGGAAACCAGCCTCTTTTGCTTGGGGGCCTCGTTTTCTTGCGGCATGCTCATGTTGCTTCTCGGAAACAGGCTGCGTGTCACTTCAACATCTCATTTGACACAGTTTCAGGGCATCTTCAAATGCACAAGTGTGCTTGGGGTGGGCCATGACTATCAGGCTCTGCATTGTGCATTCCACTTCAAGCCTGCCTCTCGCTGCATGCCAGCAGGAAAGTGGGCGCCCCCCGCGGCCGGAATTCCATCACGGCGCTGCCTCCGGCGATGCCACTCATGCCAAGTTACAACGGGGCAAAGCTCCAATTGGCCATAGGTCAAAATCCCGTACCCCCAGTGAACTCCCCACTAAAATAGACTAAAATGGCACCTACCCCAAAATAGTAACCCATACCCAATTGAGTCACAATCAAAACTGGGTAGTCAAAGTTTAGTAGGCGACAGCCCTAGCCACAATTAGGTTCGGCCGCCCTTTTGATTCTTTACCTGGTTG